GTATTTTCGTGGAATAAATATTCACTATTCATTCTAATCGGCTAAGTCTTATTAAAAACGCATCTATAGTTTTGTTTTCCTGTCAGTCATCAACCTAATCGTACTTAGTGAAGAGAAAAAGCATTCGACTGAAGCACAAAAAGTGGATATCTCAGGAGCAGAGTTTTTGTTGTATGAAATGCAAAGGTTTGAAATGAGGCACTGTATCTCAAAATTGGACACATATGGCAGGCCTGCTACAATCATTGAATATGTCCTTGTTTCATAACGATCATTTTTTTGCTTCTGGAGCGTTGGTTTTCCTATCATTGATCTCTTAACTGTTTTTTCGAATTTATCTTGTAGAACATCAACAGACAATAGCTCGTAGTCCAACCGTAGCAAAGTCGATCGATATTTCTGCATTAGAGCTTTCATAATGCAGCAAAAGTTTTCAAATTAATAACTTTCTGCACTTTCATTCTACTAATTTTATCGCTATAGTGAAGTTTAGAAGGAGGTTTTAGAACAAAACATATAATTAATAAGGCAAGGCCTCGTTGTAAGAACTTCGTAAAATTAAAATAGAAGCGTGACAGAAGAATACATTCAGTCTGTGTCAATAAGATCAATAGGTTTCGAAATGTATCGATAATAAACGGATCCCTTTTATGGTATTTTCTTGGGATCTTCGTACATATAGGTCGTGTCATTGGCGACAAATTCATGTTTGACGTCGAAATGAGATTGAATAAAAGCATTAGCATCTCCTGCTGTTGGAACGTTCTTGTATGAGGCATAGCGAAAGAGAACATAAATATTTCCGATCGTCAAGTTGTACACTGTAACGATACCATCCATCTCTGTTGGCTCTTTGTGAAATGCCGGATTGGGTTCGTTCCAGGTCGAGACTATTAGACGAACAGGAAGCATCACCTGATTTGGATCAACAATTCCAGTTATCACAATCTCATAATCGATCTAGAACGTTCATAAATCAGTCAGCCTGAGACAAACATAGAAAGAAAGAAATGCTGTCCTTTTCTAATCTAGATACTAATTTCGTTTATATCACATCGTCACTAAGATGCTCTCAAAAGATGAACTATCTTCTTCGTCCTGTAGCGATGAACATTGTCGAGAAGTCTATATATCTCAATATTGAAACAAATAATATTTACTTCTAATGGTATACATCCATTGTCAGCGTTCGTCTTCCTAGAAATCATTGTTCTCGTTGATCCCATCTCGTCTTTAGTCAAAGTTCGTTCGACTGGCGTTTTCTCATAGAGATCATAATAGATAAATTCATCATCTGGATCATATCCATTCGTATTTTTCTATCGAATACCAATAGCCGACACAATATGATCATAATCTTCGTAGTTCATATTCGGAAGAAAGAGACCGAACATGGCGGAGTACCTTAGCAAAATGAATCACTTCATCCATCGACAAAAGTATCGAAATTGTGATTGAGGAGAATTCATCCAATCCCACTCTTCATACGTAAAATGAAGACGAGCGAGAGTGCGGATCCGATCTCGTCGATCATCAGGTGATAGTTGTTGCAGAAGATATTCACCATGATTAATGTTGCGAATGAGAGCTTGAGAGAGCCAAGCACCATAGTACAGACCTAGATATTGGATGTGAAAAGAAAATTATTCGGGCTTTACACTTTACGGAAAAAAAGATCTCCTACAAAGTCAGATGGAATCCAAGATAAAGCTCTAGAAGTAATCAATCGAAGATACAGTAAAACAAGTCGTTTTTCATGACCCAAAAACTTTTGTTCAAAATCTGATTTCAGATTTAAACCGGTCTTAGCAATTGATTCTCTCTGCAGTTATAAAATTTTTGAAAATAGACAACGACAGTCATATTGTGTCATCTGAAGTGTGTACTATGTGCAGATTCTGACGATTCAGTGTATTCGTCGGATCCTTCTGTTATTGACGATCATCAAATAAGTGAGCAACTACATCTCGTTCGTATCCAGATGCAACCAAAACTACTCCCGAATAAATTAATAATTTACCGATAGACTGAAGAGCCGTTTCACCGCAATACCCATTTCCGTTATCCCATTATAATCGAGGTGCAATATCGAACAAAACGGTCTGTTCAGGAAGTGATTCCACTTCCTTTGCCTGTGCATCTGTTTGATTCATGATAGATCACATTTGAATTTAAAAGAAAGATCAATTAGTAAAACCAGAAAACTTCGTACAGTGGTAGAGAATGTTACTATTGAAATTTTAACCTAAAGACTACAAATGAACCGATGAGAATCGCAATAGTGGCTAGATTCTGCAGAGGTACGTTTCTCTCTCGACAAATAGAATCGATTTTACGCACAGATCTTTGCGAAACTCTTGGAGTTTGCAAAAAGAGGAAATGCTTTTTCTTTCCAAAATTCATTTTGAAACGAAAGTCTACGCAGTCTTCATTTGCGACAATCTAACCAACAATAAACCACGCTATTCATAATCGATGAGTAACAATGCAGAAATTCGAAAAAAATAGAGCGTCATCATTTCGATGAATTGCGACATAACCTATGAGTAATGTGGATTTTTCTTTTTGAGAGGTTCTAGTTCGTCTTATCTGAAAGTAGAACAAACGAATGCCTTTGCAATGACGTATAGATGCTCTACGCATATCAAATGAACGAACAGAATGAGATTTTAAAACTGTATTTATAACTATAAAATGACAACGCATGCAGAAAGAGTTGAAACAAAAGATTTGATCATTTCTGAATTTTTACTGACAAAGTTGTCACAGATTCAAGACTAAGATAGACGTAAACACCAGTATGTGGTGCACAGGCTGTAAGTTATCTATTTGGTAGAGACAGTATTGCGATCGTATGATACTGTATCGTATACGTTGCAATACACATGTTTGTTCTACTGATATCCATACGACAAAACAAACATTTTCTAATGTACTCGATACAATACACTGACGCTTATGATTGTATAACCACGTAAACTACAGTCTCGAGTATATAAAGAAAAGAAAACAGCCATGTATGAGACCTCATCTTTTTTCATCGCTTAGATTGATAGTTTCGCATTCTGAATTCGAGAAGAAGTAAAATAGAAATTATATGTATCGAAAAAAGACCTTGAAATGTTTTATTTCTTTGAAATTTCTTCATTTGGATTAGAAATCACTTTATTGTAAAATTTTTGAAAAAAAATTCATTTCTCTCGATTAAAAATTAACTCAATCAAAGGTGGCATTTGACAACACAGGCAATCAACTGACGGTAGTCTAATACTTAAACGGTCGGCTATCCTCAGACTGCCATTCTACCGTGATATACCGATAGTTGCTCCCTGACAAACAATCTAGTGCCGATATACCGTCGATTTTTGTGAGTACCCTGAAATACCAGTGACAGTGCGAATAAACGTGCCACTTGGAGAACCTTTTTTTTTCTAATAGTTTTTAGAACCGAGGTATTACAAGATCTGATTTGTAAAAGAAATATTATTAAACTTTTTTTTTTAAACTAATTAAAATATTTTATCTGATCATAAAGCACTCGCAGATTTACACATTATTATTCAATGTATACATAAACATGTTAAAACTTGATAAATATAATTATTTACAAAAAATTTAAATGATGATAGTTTTATTTGCGTAGTAAATTAACATTTTAACTGCACAGATTCTACTAATAACGATAAAACACGATATTTAATTGTGTTGAGGAGTCAATTTGATAAATGAGTGTGTCACTCTTTCAAATCATGTCAATAAACCAAGTTTATATACTGGTTGCTTGAAGTACTCTTTAATTATTTGCCTCCCATGTAATTAACTTAGCAAATTTACATCTGAAATAATATATAGAGAATATTATATGAATTCAACTGTATTTCGTTTTCCACAATAGTGTTTTTCTCATTTTAATAATATATCAAGCAACCTCTTTGTACTATGCAAGAAAAATATAGTTAATTATTTGTAAAGAAAATCATTTTTTCATTCCGATTTTGCTTTTTTTTTGAGAAAAAAAGACATTTATTTGTCGAATGTTTAAGAGGTAATGTTATTTATAGTTTGCACTACTTTATCCACGAGATTAGTTTTATTGTCAGTAATTGTCGACTATTAATCTATCAAGCAACACAATATTGACGAACGTGCCTGGAAGAACAAGGATTCTCTTTGAGTCGTCATATTTCCAGTGCAATCTTTGTGTTTATGATTCTACTCAACTGAAATTTTAATGAAGATGCATGATGCATACTATTTAAGTAAATGTCGATATACAAAAACGTTTTATTTCTTCATGATTATGCTTTCATAACTTTAAGCTGCATTAGATAATGATTGTATTCATAAAACCAATAAGAGAAGTCCCCCAATTAATTAATCATTTGTGAGTTGGGATAATTTGTATCGTGTGGATCCTAATCAGTTATGTGTACTTTGAAAATAGTTTGTGTTGTTAGCTTACTGTTACCGAAACATTGCAGCTTGATGCTATTTTTAAATCATAACCGTGGTTCCCATAGGAACATTGGAAAAACTGATTTTCAAATTTTAAGATGAAATTTTACACATGCATAGGCCTTGAACAGGATTGTTTATTGTGAAAGCATGTCTTTTACCTCGTACATATGCATTGATAGCTTCGACATTCTTATTTCAGGATAGAAGTAAATTAAAAGACCTGAAATTTTTACAATAAACTATTTTGTTTGAGATCTGTCACTGCAAAATATTAATTTAAAATTTAAAAATCAATTTTTTCGGTATTCATGAAGTGGACTATGGTTTTAATTTAAAAACTATAGTGAAAACGCAGTATCTCAGTGACAGTTTAGCTAACAGTACGAACTCTTTGTTCAGAGTATTCATAACTTATTAAGATCTGCATGATGCATATTCTTCTGACTCAACAGTGATTAATTAGTCAGCGAACTTTTCTTATTGCTGTTCTTAGTCTTTGATTTTTATGCTTAGATTCATTAGAAGATAAAACACTAATCCAAATGGCAAACATTTCACTCATATTTCTTGCAATACAAATTAGTTTATTTGGAATAATTATTCTTTCAGCTCTTATTTATTCAATTCCAATTATATATTTCCAATGTTTTCGTTATCATGTCAATATCTTTACTCTGAATTTATGCTTAGCTATAACAGGTTGTTCTCTTTATTGGATTATATATTATACGATTGTAGAATTTAACAGTTGCTATTTACATTCAGAAAATACTTGTATGCTCATAATTTATGCACAAATGATGTTTACTCTTCAAGTACCATTTGCATTCATTATACTTACCGTTCATCGATATTGTTCTATAGTATATCATACGAAACACTTTTTTAAGACAAAACAATGTATAGCAATTAGTGTGATTGGTCAATGGATTGCTGCTGTTGCATTATCATTACCAATGTTCTTAAATCATTCGGTAAAGATTAAAAAAGAAAATTTTCTTTTAAGAACTTTTGATACTTGTTTTACATAATTATTTATTTTTTAGCTTTGCATTTTATCAGAATGGAAGCGAATATATGCATTGATAATGATTGTTATAATTCCATCATTGATTTATATGATAATGAATGGTCTAATTGTCAACTATGTTCGTTCTTCATCTCGTCAAGTTCAACCTCAGATCAAAAGTATTCAAACTTTTAGCCATAATACTATTCGTCAACAACCGAATATTAGTCGACGTGATGTTCGCCTTCTGAGACATATGATGCGTATGTTTTGTATTTTTGTTGGAGGGCGGAGCCCTATTTATATTGTTCTGATTATTGCATATTATATCCATATTGATTTAATTGTACCACGGTTCTTGTCTCTTTTAGCTGATTTAAGTTTATTGGGTGATATTCTTGATCTGTTTATATATAATCATGAGTTAAGACATTTTTTCAAAAATATTATTTTAACATATTTTAGAACATAAACAGTACTTTAATTGCATTTACTTTCATCGAAGATTTTGTTTTTATTGTATGTAATAGAATAAAATGAAATAAATCAAGCTATTTAAAAGTTATCCAAAAAGAAAGAAACCAAGGAATAATGATTGTAAATATTGTCCATCACATAGAAAGTGCATTAAAAAATAGATTATTAGCTTGTGAACAATGGAAGAGTACATTCAAAACACAAAACAAAGTAAAAAAAATCTATCTGTGTTTTGCTTTCATTTAATGTCGTTATAATTGAGAATCAATTAACTCTAAAATTTGATTGAACATGAAATCTTTTCAGCATGTCTAGAAGTGTAAACCGATCGATTTAGCCGTCGACGGCAATTAAAACTAGATACTAGACTTTTTGAACATTTTTCACATCCGAAATCAATTTTCAGAGATATTTTTTTCTAGTATTTTACCATGATGTTTTCTACCATTCTTTCCTACATTTCTCATTTCGAAATTTCTCAAAACTAAGAAAATCGTGATAAAAACATAGAAAAATTCCTATTGTGGCCGCTGCCGATTAACATGTCGGCTTACACCTCTAGACATAGCTACATATATGATAGGGAGAAAAATCATTTTGTTTCGCAGAATAAAATGATATAACTGATAAGGCTGAATGTATTGTTCAATTTCCTATTCTTATAATCTATTTTTCAGGCTGTTTTTCGTAATAGCGGTATCACTTTTATTTCTTCACATGAATAAACAAAAAAAAACCGTTAAACAAAATAAAATATGTGCCACTATCAATACGTAAGTTTCAATGTCAAAATTAAACTTGCTGAGAGGTGCAAAACTGCTAACTATCAACTGCCAGTTAATAAAGAAAGAAAATCAATTTATACAGTGACGAAAGATAAAGATTAACACTGCTATATCACTGTATTATAAGATTTAGTTTTCATAAAATACAATGCCGAATGTTTCTTGAATACTAATAAAATAGACTTCGTACTTGAAATGTAGAGTCAATAGTTCAAATGACCTTTAACGAGTTCAGTTGTAGATATATAATGGCAAACTTCTTTTTTTTATTTTGAACAAGTGAATTTCTTTCGATTCTTCTATAATGATTATTTTTTATTATTCAACATATCTTAGATTTATATAAATGGAGATTAACTCGCCATATTTATATAATTACCGTATATATATATATATTAAATTTGAGAGAGTCAGTGAAAAACTCAAAGTGCTAAAAAGAAGCCATCAATATTATAGAGTGAAAATAGTCTGTTTTATCAATCAGAACAAAGTGAATTTCGTAATTCAAATAAACTGATATGTGAAGGATTTTAAATTATTTACTAGGTATGAGAGATGATGTTTTTACTCATTTCGAATTGTTAGAGCAATTGCAGTGATATCGAGTTCTCTACAGTATTTGAATAATTACTTATGACGGCACGAGACTTGAAGATATTCGATTAAAAATGGAATAAGTCGAGAACACAAACAGTTAGCAATCTGTAGTTTTCAGCAATTAAAAGATTAGACATGGAAGCATATTTTTCTCTCATAATATACAAGACAAAAATTATTTTGAAAACAATAATTTCTACAAAATATAAAAACAATGTGTATGAAAATGATCTGTCACTTCGATGAAGTTTTGCTTGAAAATCAGAAAAATTCTATATTATTCAACCGAAGAAATACACAACTTTATTGTATGTAAGAAGCATATAAAAATCAAAATTTCATTGGAATGGCAGACTATTTTGATACATTACTTTGAAGTGTTTTGTGAAACTCTTTGGTTTCAAAATGATTCTATCTCGTATATTGTGGGAGAAAAAGATGCTTTCATGTCTTCCCTTTTGATTGCTGAAAACTACTGATCGCTAACTGCTTGTGTCCTCGACTTATTCAATTTTTAACGAAATACTTTTAAGTTTCGCATCGACATTAGTTACCTCTTTTATTACAAATCAATCTTACTGTTGCTCTGATATTCATACTTAGTCGATGGAAAGTTTCAAGAAGATACTTACGATGTTTCCAAAACTCTATCCAGATATTCGAACAACTTATTATGTAACTAATTAAATCAAAAAGATCTAACTACTTATGCAGAAGTAGAAATAGATATTATTCATCAATAATTTAAATGGCTATTATTAAATGATCGGTTTTTTGTCAAAGTTAAGAAGATGAACATGATTTTCTATCCATTATTTCTCCTGATATCGAAATCAACAAAGACTTTTGAGACATGAACGATGTTATGATATTGTAGCTCTATGTTCAATGAATTACACTAAAAGTTGAAGAAAATATAGAAGAATTAATATAAAAATATGTTCCTGTCATCAATTACTATTCGACTACCATCATAGTAAGTCTCAAATCTCTTTTAAAATTATCTATAATTACTTAAAACAGTAGTTTGTTTTAAAAATTCATATGGATATTTCATCTTCTATAAATTTCGATCGATTTTGAAATCTTATTGTAATAAAATTATTTTTTATCAAGAAAAATCAAATAATGATTTATCAGTGAAATATGGAATGTTTTAAAGTTTATTAATAGAAATTCGAAAATAGTGATAGTTTGCTTAAGACAACTACTTTCACACCAACAGCAATTAATAGAGATGTGACTATGACATAGACAAAAAAATAAATAAAGGTGATGCTCCGAGTAAAAGTGAAGTTGTCATTAATATAGTACGAATTACCAAATTTAATACATCATGTCTATCAAAACTATGATAACGAAAATGAAATATTAATATTATCAGAAGCTTTTTTTCATAGCTACAAAGATTGAATATAAGAAGGAAAACCAATATTAGGTGATCTATTTAGCAAATGTTATTCTTACAACAATATCATATATTAGTAGTGAAAAACAAAAAAAAATATTGCAGATGATATGTCACTTGAACGGTTTATTTCACATACAATTTTATTATAAGAATCATCAAATATTGACTATATTATTGTTGAATATTGAAACTAGAAAAGAGTTATTAAATTGTAAGAGAAATACTTCATTTTCTCTAGCTTTTAAGTCCGATAAATAAATTATCATCGAAAAGTGAATTAGCTCTTAATTTCAAACGATAAAATAAATCTGAAATATTTATGATTAATATTTACTGGAGATCGTCTTAAAATTAAATAAATTATGATCAATAATATAAATGGATCTCAAATTCTCATCGTTGACAATAGTCGTACTCTTAAAAGAATACGATATTAGTTCATTTCTACTAATTAAATTATTCTTTTTTTATTGATATTAATTAATGTTGATGCAGATAATATTTGTCGTGTTTTTTTTATTTGTCCAAATAAACATTTTAACGGCGACAAAACATTTTAGTAAAATAAAAGCATTAAATTATTTTTCCTTCGTTCTTTTACTACCTCAATGAGTCAATATCGCATGTTTTATTTTTCTTTCTTCATGCTTTTTTCCATTGACAAACGATAGAATTCAGTTGGATTTCTTTGCTGTTCTTCTTACCTGCAAACAAAAACCAAAACAGTGTGTTTCTACCACGAGACTGTAAAAGTACGAAAGACACATTCTCATAATTTCTATAAAGTAATAGACATGGCTGCTAATATGATGCTGTCACTTGATACACTACCGGTCGAAATTCTGCATCGAATTTTTGATAGTCTCGACACGGAAACTATTCTTTTTTCTGTGAAATACGTATGTAAACGATTTAATTTGATTACTATCAATTATAATCGATACAAATTAAATTTTAAAACAATATTTAAGCATACTTTTCATCAACTTTGTCGTATTACTTATCCGGAAAATATTATTTCATTGACTTTATCGAATGAAAATCAAACACCAGGACAAATTGAATTATTTCTTTCTCTCTATCGTATAGAAGAGTATACTCGACTTCAATCGGTAACTCTTATGGCAATCGAAGAATATTATTTGAATATAATTTTAAAACATTTATCTACTACCTGTTTATTGATATCTCTGGTAATTCAATATGAATTAAATTCTATTCTGAGCACTGAAACACTTCTACTTCTTTCATTAATCATTGGAAAAACTAGTCTTCGTAAACTTGATTTAAATTTAGGATATACAATTCTAGACAAATTCAAATGGCCACTAGATTGTTCAGTTCAATATCTTCGATTGCCTAACCGTATTCGATTCGATACATTTTGTATGATTCTTCGTTGTTTACGTTCTATTAAAACAATGATATTACGAGACTGTATAATAAATGATATTGAAGAGATGAATTATTTAATTTCTGATAATACATTATATCGACAATTGACTTCACTTACATTCGAAGATTGTGATTTAAAAATGACATTGATCGAATCAATTCTATCTCTCACACCTTCATTAATACATCTTACAATAATAGGTAATAGTGATGATTTGTTTGATGGTGCTCGATGGGAAAAATTCATTCAAACAAAACTACCGGACTTAAATAAATTTCAATTTGCTTTTCAAAGTAATATTAATATTAGTCATGATCCTATTGGTTTAGAAGCACTTCTTATATCATTTCAAACATCATTTTGGCTTGAAACAAAACAATGGCTTGTTACTGCTTTATGTGTTCAAAGTTCACAGTTTATCAATCTCTTTACAACACAAGATTGTGTATCAAAAATTAACTTTCATCCAAAAGCAAACAAAATTGCACGTTCTACGGCTTCTAAAGTAATCGAAGATAAACTAACGATGGATAGTGTACGTGAAATGAGTTTGGATTTAATGGAAATGCAAGTTGATATCATAGAAAAGGTAGATATAAATTAATCTTATTAGATTTTTCATTTTTTTTTGTGTCCTAAAATTATTTCTTTCTGTTTACATTCAACTTTCTAATTAAATAGTCAGATAAAATACTCGAGTACACCTTTGGGCGATAAAATCTTGCTCTTTGTATTTATAGAAAGAAATATCAAATCACTGCTTATTCAATAGACTCACAAGACTTACACTTCAACTTCATGAAGATTGGCCGAATGGTTCACTTAGACTTCTTTCATCATTCATCGATCTTTCAACGATTACTGAACTCGTACTAGATATTAACTTCACACAAAGTGATAGTTGCAATACAACAACATGTATTATTGCTTTACTCGAGCAAACATCAAGTATTCGATCTCTCATTATCCTTAATCGGCATGTTTCTCTACAAACTATCTGTTCAATTGTATCTAATCGTGTGAAAAATTTGCAAATTCCTGTAAATACTGTAGAAGAAACGAAAATGATTCTCAAACGATTCAATCATTTATTCAGTGTGACATTTAAATTTCTAGGAAATTCTTTAAGTTCTATTGCAGAAATTATTGAATGGCTTGTTTCGAAAGGTAGAGATTTTACATATCAATCAACTCAATGTTCACTCAATTTGTGGCTTGGTACGAGTAAGGAACTATTTCTAAATTGACATTAGCATCAATTAAATATGTAAATCATTGACTTTTTTATTAAAATATTTTCGAACTATATGCATTATTTTCTTTCTTTAATGATGAATTATTATGAAATATATAGCAAAGATATTATTATTAGAGAGATCTATTTGTTTGCATATTAGATTTTCGAAAGAGGAATAAATAAAAGTGCAGAAGTCTTCATTTTATCAAGCTCTCTTAAAACAATTAGTCAGCTGGTTTCCTTTTTTTTGTTAGTGAAATTCTATTTGGTCAATGTCATTTAAAACGAAACTATAATGCAATAAACGTCAGTTCAAAAATTAAAGCAGATCAATATATTAAATGATTTTATTCACATTTTGACTGATGCTAGTTACTTAATAAAATCGCTTCTATCTTTTTTTTTGCATTTCTTGAATAAACTGCGTCTAAATGTGTTCTTAAACAAGTTTCTAAAAATCAAGAAAAAAAAGTCTCAATCTATCTCAGATTGGCACTAGGGTACTATCAGGATCATGCCATAATCCTCTTAGCATACTATGCCCAACGAACTGAATGATTAATTAAATAATAAAAGTCTGTCTTGAGCATGTGCACCGTCGATCATCAGTCGTATATATATATACAACACTAAGCTATATAAAATTGGGAATTTCGTATTGTTCAAAAGATTTGTATAGCTAAAATATTATGCACTTAGTGCAGTTTTATATTTTTCTCTAATAAAGAAGATAGTTTTATGTAAAAACATTTTTTTTGCTAATCACGACCAATATCAAATAATATACAGGATAGGTCATAGGTAGCACTGCGATTAAAAAAATGAAATACATTTGTGTCGGTTCAATCGAATGAGGTGATGTTTTTCATTAGCATTAGAAGTGTATTCAAAGCTTTTTTATTCATACGGATAAGATAAGAAAACACTACTGTCAAATATTGTTGTTAGTATCATAAAAGCAATTTGATTTATCTGTTATCAATTAAGAACAATAAATGTTTAGCATTTCATAGTTAATGTTCAGTTGTCATCTAAGAGAATAAGAAGAAATCAGAACGAACTTTATTGATGTAGAGAGAATAAATTTTTAAAGCTATTAGTAGTTAGGTGAAAAGTTGATGGTTACAAAATTTTGAATTTTCAAAACAAGGAACACTGGTTTTTGCAAGGAGGTTGGTGCTCAAAGAGCTACAATAATGCGCTTTACTTATGGAGCACAAATTTCAGCATTTAAACTAATTACTATAGTTTTGAAAACTTGCTATTTGTGCATTAATATAGTTCGTTATGATTTCTTCTTCTTATTCTCTTTGATGACAACTAAAAATTATCTATGAAACACTTCATATGTATTTTTCTTATTTGATAATAGGTAAAGTTTTTTTTGAGTGAAGCCAAGAGCATGACTTGACAGCAGTATTTATTTCCATAAACTTCTACCACCAATCAAAAAATTCAGTCATTTCGAGCAACCTGAAGAGGAGAAATGCCAATTTTTTATCGTAGTGCTATTTATAGCTCACCCTGCATCATATTTTTAATACTAGGATCATAGCGTGGTAAGCGAAGATTTATTTATATTAGTGATAACTGAAAAAATCATTAGCTTTTTAAATATGAAGTTTGATCGTAATTTATTAATTATATAATTCAAAAGCTATCATTTGAAAATTCAATTTGAAGTCATGAATAAACCAAAATATACGGATGTCTAGTTTTGTCTGTCATTGATACAATTTTTTTTTACAGGATTCCAACATCTCGTAGAAGTTCACAGCTGATACACTATTCAATACAATCTCAACAAATAAAGCATTTATAATCGACTGGCGTTAAATGTTTCAGATGGATTCGACTTTAGAATTCTTGTGCACATGATTCGAAGAAATTTTTTCAACGCGTCTAGCTATGTTTAATAACCAAACAATATTTGAATGCGTCAATTTTTTGTTGAGTGCGTTATGAGTGATGTAAAGGTTGTTTATTCGAATTATGACGACATAAAGTAAAATAGGTCTTCTCAAAATTAAATCAATTCTATTTCTTCAATCAACAAGAAAATAACAACTAGAAAAATACACATTGTCGTGAAAGTGTAAGAGTTGTTATCATTGTATGTAAATATTTAAGACAATTGGCTGGACATTTATGCAAAAGTGTTGGAGAAGATTGATCACCCATGAAAAGGAGTCACGTTACACAAATATTTTTGAGTGTGTTTTGTTTGTTGAAGAAAGTCTACAAAATGTTGTTTTACCGTAATGAAACAAAGATCAAGTCACTAAACATTGGAGAGTGGAAAATTTATGCACTATTAGCCAACTTATGCGTAGTTAATATCTTTCAGTTTCGATTTGTTTTCTTTATATTTTTCACGTACACCTTTGCATGCTACACTTTTGAATTTATGCTCTTCTAAAGATAACTCGAATCTCTGGGATGTTCACAATGAGATGATTCTTTGAGAAACGTATCACAGTTACATCGAATTTGTTCGAAGTGTTTCGAACTTTCAGTCGTAATAGAATTTAATATATTCACCAAAGATTTTCTTCGAAAGTTTTTAAAATAATTTCTTGATAGTTTCTCATATTTGACTCTAAAAGTCTTCCAAGCCAAAATCCAATTTCTAGGATTTCGTTATTTTATATGATAGAACAGACACTAATCAGTAAGATAAACATTTTGCTAAGCGAACACTTTTATCACAGGCATTTTCTTTGAATTGAAAAGTTCTAAAAAAAGAACTCGACTTTTTTAATAAACACTTTTCTTTCAATTATCACATACAAACAAAGACGTTCGTGTGAAAATGGATGTCGTCAGCATTTTCTTCCCACTTCAATTTACTCTTCGCTTGTTATAAGTGCATATCTATTCTATTTTTTCTTACTTTCTATTACGAAGATAATATCGATTATTAGCATATGTTCCGTGAATGAAAGAATATTAACTATTAATTCAAAGATCAACTTTCAGAAAGTTAAGAGTCCACTTATATTGTGCTCAGTCGTCTAGCGTCAACTATGTTCAGATAAAACAAGCATGAAAATAATAATCATGATTTGAATTGAAAACGAACACAAAACAGTGCATGAAAGTAGATGTTAGATGACTGATGACGGCCAAATAGTTGTCAAAATTTCTTTCACTGATAAATGAATCAGTGAAAAAATGTCGAATGATTGTGCCATAGACGATGCCATGCAATTGTGTGCTTGGGAAGGACAGTCAATGTCAAACGTGCAGAATCTGCCCGTGTGCGCGAAAGGCCGCTCGGAGAAATGTTTTGACAAATATTTTCTCTTGTAGAGAAAATTTTTCAATTTTCCAAACGAATCTCAGTTTATTTGTATACAGAGTGAGTCAAAAGTGAGGAAACACAATTTTTTTTTATTTCATCTCTGTATATGAATAATAAAATTTCTTATTTATACTACACTTACTAGGTAGTGATAGTCACAGATCTAGTATATTATGAGTCTCTGGGCTCAATAGTTCGTTTCAAAAGCACATCGATATATTTTGTATACTCTTTTGTAACTGTAGCAGAACTGATTATTTCTTGTTGAATTTTATTTACGCTTTTTTTCTTTGATTGGATCAATTTGAAGAATAAATCAAATAGAATATTCTTTTTTAAATTTCTTTAAGATAAACAATCTAGAAAATAATACAAATATATTGTAACCTGAAAATCGGTACAGTCAGACGAAAGGTTGATTATCAAATTCTACAAGGAAACAATAACTCTTGTTCCCGTCACATAGAAATATACGAGATAAACCGATGTGTTTTTGAAAAAAACTATTGAGACTAGAGACGAATGATATGCTTCGTTTTTGACTACCACTACCTAATATATGTGCTTTAAATAAGAGATTTTATTATTCATGTATAGAGACAAAATTAAAACGATTTTATGTTTGCGTACTTTTGGTCCATCTTACATATATCGATAAGTCCTTCTACTCTTCTTTTCATTAAACTTCTGCAAGATTCGTCTATGTCTATTTATCTTGATATTAGTATTTTCTACCTTCGTTTACATTTATCAAGCTTCATGCTACTTCTGTCACTCTGTTTCGTTATGTCTATTCATGAAATAATATGCCTTATTTGAGTTCTCCTCTTTTCTTTCTACATACTATTCTCTAATGGAATGCCACAACTTGCTATTTTTTCCTCTGTTGCTGCATACAGTTGCTGTTGTATGTGTATGTATGCACACAATGCCACTACAATGACTAATGTATGGTCATCAACGGCTGAATCAAATATGTTTTCGTTGGTTCGAGTTCAGTTCAATTTTGATTTACTTTTAAAAAATTAATTTGGGTTCGGCTTGGTTCTATCCAAGTAACCCTAGTTCCACCAAATCAGGAATACACGATAAGTCGAAACCTATGTCTCCTGGTTCAGTTATTTTCATTCGTTTACGAAAAGCGCAAGTAACAAGGAAATCTGAACTAAACGATATTGAATAGTAGTCATTTTCTTAATATGTATTTGCCATGTGTTGAATAGTGGTAGTTGTTTTTTTGTTTTTTTTTGAATAAAAACTTAAAGCAAGAAAACTCGTTTTTTTAATTGAGTTTTATAACGGGGGAAAATTTTTATTTTGCCGGTAGACTCTGCATGCCTGGCCAATGTACCAAAACTTATTCAAAAAGATGGTAGTGAATTTTTGACACTAGTTCATTTAGCAAGTCTGCAGTTTCTCAAAAGTCCCTCAATCGCTAAACATTTCAAAATGCGTCTCCTATTATTTTACATGTTACTAAATAGTTTTTGAATAATTATATCTTTTTCTGGTTTTTAATTTATATTTATTAATTTTAATGTATGAAAACGTTTCGGAGAGCTATTGTCTCCTTCCTCAGTTCATGTACCTATTACATTAAAATAAAAATTTTATCTTTTACTGTTTACAAATCGGCTTATATATGTTTTTCTTTTTCTTTTTTCTATTTTCTAATAGTGGAATGAAAAATAAAAAAATTGATTAGCTTAATCATCCAGTATTACCGTCTTGTTTTCCCGTTTCACTATTAGAAAATAGAAAAAAAAAGAAAACATATATAAAGGCAGATTTCTTAATAGGAAAGGAGAAAATTTTTATTTTAATGTATACTTAGTAAATGAACTGAAGAAGAAGACAGTACGTAGCTCTCCGAAACGTTTTCATACCTTACAATTTATAAGTATAAATTAAAATCGATTAAATTAAATTATTTCATATCTTAATTTTTAACAACACATAACAAATTAAAAAACAGGAAGAGAAATAATTATTAGAAAAACTACTTATAATAACTTTCCTCAACATAATGAATTTATATGTTACTCTCAATTTTCATTCATCACTAAGTTTATATTATTCTCTTATATGTCTGCATACAAACAACTGAGTTTTGAACGAAACGCCTATTCAGTGAGGAAGTAATATTACACTTCAACATATGCATACGTACGACTCATTTGATATGAACTATTTTTAGAAGTAGCAAGACGAGAATTGAAGTGTTCTAATTCGAGTGCAACTCACGATGGCAGAAGAACGACATCAGATAACTCGTACTCTAAAATTAGCTTGAAAACCTTACAGTACTCACTAGTCTCATTAGTAAGAGTCCTTCCATTCTGGACGTATCTCATCTTGACACATGCGAAAGCCTCAAAGAGAGTGTGACGTGGGTAGTAGATGAGGTATGAGATATACTCAGTGTCGATAGAAGCACGTAGCGAGATATGTAAGTTGATCACCGGAATCACCGTCATCGTCACTAGGCGCGAAATTTTCGAGATATATCAGTCAGCACCACCAATTCTCTAGTGATCCAGTCATGTTACCACCATTTCTACGAATAGTCTCTGAAACTTATAGCAGTCTCGACAGTCATAATATATTAAATACTACACTTTTCAACACTTGGAGCATCCAAGATCACTTTCCATGCATGTTATTATCTATGAACTCATTCAATTTTCTGACATCATTTTCTCATAGTTGTATGTTCTGTTGTATTGTCTCAGAAGAAAGAAAATTTCTAAAAAAAAAACAAGAATTAAAATATTTTCATCACCGCTGGTTCATTATCAAATCATTCTTCCTTCTGCCACCGAAAGCAAGAGAAAAAATAAAAAAGTGGCAGCCGACACCATCGATAAGGGAAAAATTTTACAATAAATTGATCCACAAGCGTTTACTAAATTGGCTTCTATCTCTACGGTTGTGGCAGGTTCAAGAGAGTATCTTCACTCTACACCCTCACTTTCATAGGAGAATAATGCCATTCGCTCACCATGTTACCATTTCTCACCTTCACACACACTCTCTACAGTAGCTTCAGGAGGGAATAAGTTGTGTACTGTCGAGTAATCTTTGAGTTTCAAAAACCACCCGCTGCTCTATATTTTAGCTGCGACTTCTTGTATTTCTGTAAAGTACCTACTCAAAGCATGTTCTGATAGAAATAAAAATTACATACTCCTAACCAGCAGTGCGAGCTTTATTTAACTGTACAAAGTCGATGAATTTGATTTTCTCTCGACTTTTGCATTGATAACATCATATGCAAATTAAAAACGAAATAATCCATTTATGTGTTGATTACTCAACTAATCAATTCTCTAAATCGACTTGATTAGTTGTTGTTTTCTATATTCTATGACTTGAAGACAACCAACAATGCTATCATTATGATGAGGGAAGAATATTTTGAATGATCATTAACCTTAGATGTACAAGACAATAACATTGAGACGGAAGAAGAAGACATCTAGTGACTTCTACTAGTATCATCGTCTCATTCTGAACTAAAGAAGCAAGCATGAAAGATACTCGAAATCAATTTGTAAATCAGCTCATTCTGATATTTTGTTCACTGTTTGATTGAAAATAACTTTGTTGTTGAAACCTAACAACAACAACAAACTCATAAAGAAAAACAATCTCCACTTTAAATCAATTTCATATAACCTTGCTATTAACGAAAAATCAATGATACTGTTATTGCACGCTTAGCAACGCACCAAATAATCACAATTGTCATGATTAAACATTGTTCTCCTTAGTTTTCAAACAACTCCCTTTTTCTTCTTCTTAGAAGTAAACATTTTCCTTGATTGGTTCATTTCATATCACTCTACCGCTATGATTTTTTTTCTCTTCGTGGCATATTTTTTCTCATTTAGAATAATTGGTTTCAGCATCACTAGCAGTGCAGTGACCGTCGAGCGAGCGGAAAGAAATAAAATTCATTTGTATCTTAGCTACGATCACTCTATTTCTATCGTGTATATAATCGATCGATTCTTATTGCAACTATTAAAATAAGTAAGGAGCGACTCGCAATCAATAACATAAGCTTCACTAGTTACTTTATAGAAAACAACAATGAGGTATGTTGAATTGTAGACTTTTGTGATAGATAAATCAATGTCATGATTGATATATTCTACTAGCCGTCCTGTTACAGTTCAACCTGGAGAGAAACTCTTTCCTAGTAGTGCAGAATGGAGCAATGAATTATTCAAATCTTGCAGTCCAATATCAGAAGGTAAAATGTCGATCAATAATGCTTTTAAAATCTCATATTCATCATTGTAGGAATCATATATTGTTGTTTTGGAGCATGCTGTGCTGGTCGTCTTCATCAACGTACAGGTGAACATTTTTGTTCATGTATAGTTCCGGGTGCTACACAAGCACTTNTAAATGGAATATTATTCATCATACTTGTTGATTATGATTTTCGTTTTGTAACAGTATTCACATTACCAGTGGCTTTCATATTGACAGTCTTATTTAATGAAGTTTAGTCTTTCCAATTTATTCTTTAATATGTCAATTACTGGTATTTATCGTTCATACACTTTTATAAAAAAAAGAAAAAAGCGATTCGGCATGCATTTGAAAGCCAAATAGATGAAATGAAACCAATATTAAACTTGTAAGGCATCATTTGATAAGATTTGAGTAAATATAAAAATGTCATACAAAACAGTACTGATGAATGGAAAAAAAATTGCGTAGGTAAATGTGAGAAGATAAGTAACAATATTCCACAAAGTTTGAAAATAAGACCAAGCATGATACAAAAATTGACTATTGATATTTATACCAAAAGTTAGTTTAACAAACTTACAAATCATTTCAATCTTTTATTGAGTTTTTTTTTTGTCTGAAAAAAAAATGTGAAATAAAAATATTCATTCAAGATTAGTAAAATAACCATAACATTCGAATACATTGATGCATTTCAAAATGTCTTTATTTTTTCAGATGATAGTTCTAATCTTCCTGTAAAAATTATATATTTCGATCAAATTAAATATATAAATTTATCATAGATATAAGCGATTTACGGAGAGGAGTCGAAACTTTCCAATCACCCTTTAGTATTGTTTCTGTCCGAACTTCACACATTCTTTATTTCGCTTAAAACCAAAGATAAAACACACGCACACACACTTAAGAGATATTTCAATGAATTTGTTCGATTGTAAAAATCACCATTAGCAAGAATCACTCATCATGGGTCTATTTGGCATGTGGATCTGGTACACCCTGACGATCGAGTTCTTTCTTCATTTGTAATAATGAACATGGACCACAGCATGATGCCAACCAATCATGGATAAGTGTACCCTATATGATAAGATGAAAGTGAATGTTTGTTTGCAGAGAAAGAAAAACATCAATAGATACTCACCTTAATACCATAAGCCATTCGAATCTTTGCTCGAAGTGCTTGTGTAGCACCCGGAACTATACATGAACAAAAATGTTCACCTGTACGTTGATGAAGACGACCAGCACAGCATGCTCCACAAAAACAATATATGATTCCTACAATGATGAATATGAGATTTTAAAAGCATTATTGATCGACATTTTACCTTCTGATATTGGACTGCAAGATTTGAATAATTCATTGCTCCATTCTGCACTACTAGGAAAGAGTTTACCTCCAGGTTGAACTGTAACGGGACGGCTAGTAGAATATATCAATCATGACATTCATTTATCTATCACAAAAGTCTACAATTCAACATACCTCATTGTTGTTTTCTATAAAGTAACTAGTGACACTTATGTTATTGATTGCGAATCGCTTCTTACTTATTTTAATAGTTAGTTGCATTAAGAATTGATCGATTATATACACGACAGAAACAGAATGATTGTAGTTAAGATACAATGCTATTTTATTTCTTTCTTTTGGTTACCGTTTGAATGTCATAGCATTATTAAGCTCCGTTTAGTAAATTTGTTGAAGTAAGAAAAATATACACGTAGGAGAAAAGAAGAGAAAACTTAGTAGTGGAATGACAAAAATCAAAACGAAGCAATCAAGATGTTTATTTCTAAGGGCAAAAAAGGCGAGTTGTGTGAGAAGTAAGGCGAACAATGTTTGATCATGATAATTGTGATTAATTGTTGAGTTGCTAAGCATGCAATAACAGTAACATTGGTTTTTTTGTTAATAACAAGCGTATATGGAATTGATTTAAAGTAGAAATTACTTTTCTTTATGAGTTTTGTTTGTCGTTAGGTTTCTACAAAAAAATTTTTTTTATCAAACAGTGATCACGCTATCAGAATGAGATGATTGACGCATAGACTCCAATTGTTTTTCATGCTTGCTTCTTTAGTTCAGAGTGATACGACAATACTAATTAGTCGCAGTCACTAGGTGCTTTTTTTTCAGCTTCACTATCACCCTCTTGTACATCTAAGGTTAATAATGATTCAAAATATTCTTCCCTTTTCAAACTGATAGCATTGTTGATTGTCTTCAAGTCGTAGAATAAAGAAAATCACAACTAACCAATTCGATCTAGACAATTAATTAGCTAAGTGATCATCACATAGATAGATAGTTTCGTTCTTACTTTACATATAATGGCGTTAATACAAAAATCAGCTTTATGAATTTTACATCGTTAGATAGAGCTAGCTATGCTTGTTAGTAGTATGTCATTTTTATTTCTATCAGAACTCGTTGTGAATAGGTAATTTATAAAAATTCAAGGAGTCCCAGCTAAAATGTAGCGAAACGGGTGTTTTTTTCAAGTTGAAGATCACTCTGAGGTATACAAATTATTCTGTTCTGAAGATGTTGTAGGACGTGTGTGAAAGTGAATAGCGTTGTCATGGTGAGCAAGTGGTATTGTTGTAGTGTGAGAGTGAGGGTGGAGGTCCTCTCTTAAACCTTTCTCACGCTTATAAATATCAGCCAATGTAATAAGCGGTTATGGTGAAATTTATTGTAAAATTTCTCCTCTGTCGGTGGTACCGGGTTGTTTCTTTTTATTATTTTTTTCTCTTCCTTTTGGCAACAGAATGAAGAATGATTTAACAATAAACCAACAGTGATGAAAAGATTTTAATTTTTTTTTTTTTAATTTTCTTGCTTCCAAGACAATACGAAAAACGATAAAAGTACAATAGGAATCTGAATGAGTGGAAAATAGATAACAGTATGCATATAAAGTGGTGTTGGGTGTCCATAGTGTACAAAAGTTTAGTATATAATATATTATCGCGGCGGCGGCTTCTATAATTTTCAGAGGCTATTTTCAGGAATGATGGCAACGTGACTGGATCAGTAGAGAGTTGACGATGGTGGCTGAAATAACGTCCACTTTCATGCATTGTTCTGTGGCGTTTCAGTTCAAATCATCACTATTATTTGCATTATTGTTCTATCTGAACAAAGTTGACGCAAGATGACTGAGCATAACATATGCTGACTCTTGACTTTCTGAAAATTGATGTTTGAATTAATAGCCAGTATTTCTTCAATCACGGAAGCCATGCTAATAACGGTTATTATCTTTTTGATGGAAAATTTAAACAAGTAGAATAGAAATACGCTCATAACTAGCGAAAAGTTAATTGAAATACGAAGAGAATACCAGCTACATTCAATTTTACACAAACTTTTTTGTTTGTATTTAACAGCTAAATGGAAAGTGTTTATAATACTTGAAGCAAGCATGCCTAATAGTCATAGGATGAGCTAAGTTTACAGTAAGAGATTAATATCAAAGACTCACTCGTTTTGATTGGTTTTAATAAGAAAACATATCATCCAGAGAAAGATTCAAATCAATTGTTGTCAAGTTGGCATATTATTTTATAATAGTATAATTGGCATTTGTGAAGTAACGATGTCGAAGAATTCGGATTATTTTGAACCCATTCATCATTATTTCTACAGTAATTTGAAACCTTCACAATCATGAGTCATACTATGATTAAGTTCGAAATAAATCATTTAATGATATTATGCACACAGGCACATTTCAGTTGGTTGCTTGAACGGACGAAGTCTCTTCATCCTACGTCATCACATCTTACAAAAACATGGCATCTGATTGACAAGGGTTCGTTTATATGCTTGGTATGATCGTTGTGTTCATCCAGAAACACAGTAATCGATGACACAAATAATAGGAATATTTGAAAATTGTTGTCCATAGAATGATTTTCGAAATAATCGTATTAATACACACTGTTCGACGCTGGAGTGTATAGGTTCTGTAGTGAGTTAATTTTTGGTTTATTCCGATTTCTCAATCGAAATTTGCATTTCGTTTGTATTTTTCAAATCTTGATAAAGATTTCACAGAATGAAAGTCTCTGACGAGTGTCTTTCGCGAACTCGACATTTGGATCATCGCAGTAAAATCAGATTAGATCAGCATTCTTTATTACAAACGAATTCACATTAAAGTCGATTAGTGGCGGAAAATATTTTCTGGCCTAGCAGCTTGTGGAAATATAATTTTTCTCGAAGAATGACAAAAGTTTTGAACGTTGACTTTTGATAATCTTAAGAGAGGAAGAACCATAAGAAAATTTTCTGATTTTTGATTTACTATTTGCTTTGATATAAAAGAAACTTCATCTATGTTGCGATTGAGCTACATTCATGATTTGCCATATCATTTAGTTCATTTTCTTTTTTCAAACAACCACAACAAGATCAGAAAGCTGTAACATAGAGTAATAACAAAAGCTAAATGTGAGGAACAACCATTTACAATAGGTATGCTTATGTTTTAGTCAGGACTTTTCACTCAGTCTTTCACTTATGAGTTAAAAAGAATATTTTATTCTCTTTGAAATATATTTAAACATGTCTTTGTCTTTAGGTTCCGGAGACTCTTTCATAATATCTCACATTCTTCGTGATCGCTGGCTTAAACTTTCAAAATGTCGCCATGCTATGAGAACGGTGCTATCGCTCACTGGTTGCAATTGTATTTTCAGACATTGAAAATGTAGCAAAGTCATGAAGACTATTTGAAGTAGCCTATTCCACTGGAACTAGCAGAATCAAGGATTTTTTTAGCCATATTTTCATGATTTTCGAAAGAAAGAATTCAGTAAAAAATTTGTAGAAAAAAAAAACGTTTGAGTCATCGTCTAAATTTTTTCGTTAGTTTGTCGTGTGAGTGGATTTCGATATTTTTATTTTTCGCTAGTTGGTTTTATTAGCTGAAATGTTATCTAATTCAAATACTTTACGCGAAACTATTTTTCTTAGTGTTAGAACAATTCATTTTATAAGATATTAGTCTTAGAGTATCCTGAAGAAGCATCACATGTGGATAGGTCTAGGTGTGTGAGTGCGGATTTTGTGTAGATTACGCAAAAGATTCTCGCTTCTATCGATACCTACATTGTTGAAAGAGATTCATATGTTTTAGGTAAATTTATTTTCAACTTTTAATAACTTTAGATAAAGTTTAAGATGAATAAAGTCGTTAAAGTCATGACCCTAGCGCGTCATTCAAATGTACAATGATTGTATTCAGATAAAAATCGATTTTTTACGCGATAATTTTCATAAAAATTAAATATAGAATCGAATTTTATATATAAAACAGTCATTTTAAGAGCCAAAACAAGTCATAATCTAGCAATTGAGTTCGAAACTTTTTTTCTAGATGATTCTTGTTGAAAATGACATTTAATCAATAGAGAATCATACTCTGCACCTTAGACAATTAGCTAGAAGTCCATCACCAATCGTAAAACTAATTCCAGTAAGTAAAGATCAAATATGATTGTAACTTTACTTCCGTTCTGAATTCTTTGCCAATGAATCCTATCGGAAGTTGTTGCATTTTCGTCGAAAGTTACTAGATTATTTTTCATATCCAATAGGGTTCAAACTCAACGTTCTTTGATCTAGAATGTCTTGATAAATGTTGTATACTAAAAAATTCGATGAAATATTTTTGCTGTCAAAAGTCATATTTGTCTTGATAAAATATTTTAACGGTAGAATGTGCGATATTTATCTGTGCTTTACTAGATTAAAACACAACATGTTTGCAATGTTTTGACCTATGTTTTTGAATTAAATCTTCATAACAATAAGAACGGATCCATTACAGAACAGCTGTCGTCATAACTGACTTGAATGCAGTACTTCTACCAGTAACTCAAGTTGTAGTAAAGAAATGACTGCAGAACTTGAATTGTGGTTTGATGATTTGCATTTATTGTTCAACAAAAAGCTGACAAAATGAGACAAATTGTTAATCAATATAGCATGTATTAATTAGACTATTAGTTCGGAATTCATACTAAAAATACACTGAAAATTGAGAAAATAACGATTTTTGAACATCGATGATCTAGATAATGTTACGTGTAAGATGCATGAAAAAAAAATAGTGACAGCGGTGAGATTCGAACTCACGCCCTTTCGGACCGGTGCCTTAAACCGGCGCCTTAGACCGCTCGGCCACGCTGCCTGCTTAATCCCATGAAAAAATTGGTTTAAATGATAAATAAAAGAGTCATTATGACATTTTATACGATAAATTTTATTATTTTATTATTAAATATAGCTTGAACTACAGACGTGATGCAGGCTTCCGCAAAAATGACTAATTCACACTCGTCATTAATTATAAAATCAAGAAAGTAGAACGAAAAATAAAACTTTTTTTTCTTCATCACAGTTATATAAACCGTAATAAAGCTAACGATGACTTCAAATCAACATAATTGGAACTGTGCTTTCAACAATTTATTATTTATAAAATATTGTTAATAGTTTATAGTTAATTGTTCTACATAGATAATCATCTGTATTCGTTCTTTACACTTCTTCTCTTCTATGATCAAGGTAATAACAGCTGCGGTTTAGTCACATAATATGAAACACATTTGATTTGATTTGATTTTATCAATCTTATCAGACTTATTCATGATATTTTGCATCTGTTGCATTAAAGATTCATTATATTATATTAAACACTAAATTCATTTCGGGTCTGAAATTCAAACGATCTTATTCAAACAAAAAAAAACATTGTTGTCTAACGGAAGTACTTCATCACTATTATAATTGTTTTTTTTTTCAAAAAACATTTTTGAACATCAGAAATACTAATGTATTTTTATCTTTAAGAGACATATTCATAAAATACGGATGTATTAATCAGGATTACCCTATTTTTAAATTAACATTTTTAGTTTAGTATTTCTTCTAGGCATACAGAGTATCAATAAAATAATGAAAATACCATGTAGTCGATCATTCTTCTTTCTCGTCTATGCTTGAAGGAAAAAGAAAGGAAGCGCAAAAATAAAAATCGCATCTATAACGTTCGCATAATTATAAAAAGAAAAGGAAGAGAATTTTTTTGCATCAATGAAAAAAAAAAAGAATGAATCACAATTGGCAAAGCAATATTTTATATGGAGCACGTGTTTTTATGGTATAAATAGCATTTTTTTTTTCAACATCACGAGTATAAACCTTACACTCGAATCGTTTGAAAAAGTGAGAGAAAAAGAAAGAATCATAATAGCAATACTGAAAAAGTAAGTACTATGTGAATATATCTACATAATTTTGTCAGATACCACATGTACCTAATTATTCTATTTCAATCTAGCAAAGGTCTATTATGTTCTCCATTGTAGAAAAAAACGCATTGATGATGATACATTTCAAAACTAATGATTAAGATATCTGTTTACGATGTTTCTGTCAAGAACAATAATATTTTTCTTTATAATGAATGAGTGATTCCATCAAGATAGAAAAAAGAATAGTGCAGGAATGTCAGTCATTCTTCAATTGAGGCCACATAATCCATATAGGATTAAGAATGAATATTTGTAATCTATACTCATGCAATTCTCGATAGTACTTTAGTTCTGTTGAATAATATGAGGATATTATTTTGGATTCTTTTTAAAATAAGATTAAAATTGATTTGTTTCTTTGAAAAGATTCGACAAATTAGAGAAGTTAATTTTTTTTATTAATATCTCGCAAATATTTTTCTTTATTATCTTCTAACATAAACATAAAATATATAGATATTTAATGTCAATGATTCTCTTTTTCTTTTCTCAGTCACCACATGTTGATTTAGTCTATACATCTTATGACAAAAAAAAAGCAACTTCATTATAATAAAGTACCATATTATCAAGGTTTTTTTTTTTTTTCCTTTTTTATTTTTCGCTTAAGTTATTTGATGTATTTTATTCCATTTCAGCTGTTTCATAATTACACATATATTTAATCAATATGACATTATCTTTACCAAACATTACTTTTGAATGCAATCGAATTCGAAATTTTCAATGTAATGTTGATAATCAAATATATTATCAACAAGATGTTGACCAACATCAAAAATTTCTTGACGAACAACTTGATTGGTTAACTGTTGATCATGATGATTTAAGACAAGATCTTTTAGAACAAATCTCAACACCAAAATATCATCCTTCAATGACTGTAATCGATATATGGGAACAAGAAAGTATAGCACGTATTCAACGTACGGCTATTCTTGCTAGACGAGCACTTATTGATGCTTTAGATCAACATGTATTTGAAATAAAAAATAAATTGGATATGTTGACACCAAAATTACGCGAAGCACGTCATCATGTCAAATTTTTCAATGAAGATGATATACGAAAATGGGCAACTATATTACAAGAATTGAAGCAAATGCCATTGTTTCCTGTCACTATTGACAAAGACAATAGCATACATGGAATAACTATCGACCTTACGAAACATCAAAAAACTTTTCATTCTGAATTAAATTGTGAAGAATCAACGCCATGTACTTTAGCTTCTATTATTCGTAATCCCATTTGTCCAATTTCGATGTCTGATAGAAGCGAATATCAAACAAGATCTACAAGTATCCTAAAGAACACTCACCCAATAAATAAAACAGTAAAATTTGATGACATTTCTTTAAACAAATCACAAACCATTACACCAGGAGGTGTTCTCATTATTAGAGAATTATAAAACAATGAGGCTATTGCTCTTTTGTATTCAATAAACTCACAAAGAAATTCTATTAGTATCGAAATCTAACTGTTTTTTTTTATTCTTTCCTAGCTAGCAACTATTTATCGATAGTATGATTGATAAACGAATGTAAGATCGCTTGTAAGACAAAGTTTTTTTTTGTCAAGTATTATTTTTGAAAATATTTAATCCTTTATTTAATGTATTGTTAATTTAATTTACTATGCACTGGATCTTAAGCTTTTCGTTTTAAATAAATAAATTATTATTATTTTCATACAGAATAAGTCGTTAGGTATGTTTGCATGCATGCTGAAACTGAAGTAGAGATAGCCATGTAATACGTCAATGATAAAAGAAGTCTATTAAGAAAGTTCAAGACACTTTAATATGATCATCAATGTGCCAGTTATCCATGAAATTTTATTCAAAGGAATCTAATTCATCTTGCTCTATTAATATAATACAAGATTGTTTCTTAGCTACAACAAGTTTTAATTATTTCTTTGTAATCGAAAGGGATGCACTTCATGGCCAAGCTTGTATTGGGTTGTTTTGTTTTATTTTCTTCTTTATCCTTTATTCTTTTCTTGAGATTCGACATATCTATGGTATCATCAAGTATTTTAATAATATTTCCAATAGTTTCATCTTCTGAACTTATTGAATAAAGAATCGAACTCATTTTTACTTGCTCGAATCAACTATTGTAATAACTGCAAATATTTTCCTTCTACTCAAGAAGAACTTTTATTTAGGTTGTATCTTAACGTGATAATAGTAGTATTAAAAATCTTTACATGATACTGTATCCTATTGCGAATATCTGTAGAATACAAAAAACAAAGAAATTGTTTTTTGCACTATATAATTGCCGATGTGTGATAACGAACGAAGACTTAGCTAAAAGAAATGAGATACCATCAAGAATAATTATTCTATGTTTTAGATTTGTTTTTAATGACAAATTTTGTGTGAACTTAGCTTTTATTCTGTGACTAAAATGTAAGCTATAAGGCTAGATTCTCCGGCTTCCTTCATAGCAATACAGGTCAAATTGTAACGATACGGATACAGATCAATGATTTTAACGCCACTGACAATGATCCCAACGGTGTCACACTCACATTCAATAGGATTTAGCAACCGGAATCAATGATCAGTGGGTAGATTTCCATTGCAACCAAAGGCAATAGGCACGAAACGCTTTTTTTTTAAAACTCATTAGCAACAGAGAAAGATCGTCGAACAGTATTAACAACAAGTCTTAGACGATTGGAAAATATTTTCAAGCCTTTATCGAAATTTAAATAGCCGGAATAAGTTTTTAAATATTCTTAATAGCGCCGATTCTGATTTTTTGGCAGATAGATGATATAGGATAAATATCAAAGATGATAGCTCGTACTATTTTGATGTGCCATACACATCGCATGATCGATGCTTAGGGTATGAACTGATCAAGTTGTAACTCTTGGAAATAATCAATACCACCGTTTTTGAGATTATCGAGATACATAATAAAATGTTGAGAACTGTTGTTGATATAATAGATGTGTACCGTACGTTTATTTATCAGTTACATCAATATTAGAATAATAATAATAATAATAATAGTTGTTTAAAAAAACGAAGCAAAACAAATAGAAGATAGGTAAAGAGCTAATAGTAGCAAGGCAAATAAAAGATGGAACGCAACTAAACAATTAAAAGAAAAAAATTGTAATCAAAATTCAGAAATTAATAAGGCACATCGTTTATCTATTGTTTGGTTCTTCATAAAAATAAAATATCATTTATTAGAGATTTTTCAATTGATCTATTTGATGTTAGTATAATCAAGGCGAGCAAAGTCATGTGAGTTCCACCTTTTATCTCCAACGAGGTTGTGCTGACAAATTCTAATCATTTCAAGCAAACAACATAATTCTTGTTGAGAAAAAGAACGAATGACGGAAGAAGATAAATCTTTCTATTTGATTAAATCTCTACGAAAACACAACCAAATAAAAAAGATAATGGTCATATAATTTTTTGTTGTTAACTACTGTAATAAAAACATTATTAAGACAAACTTTACTCTTTTATATCTTGATGTTAACAAATATGTCAAGTAGTAGCAATAAATAGAATTCGAATAGAGATGAGGACCCTTTTGTTATAAAAATCCTGAACGAAAAATGAATTCATATGTTAAAAACTTCGATAAGAGATTAAACAACGATAAATTATGTAAACTTTCGTCTAAATATGATACGATTATCAGTTGTAAATTACATGAAGCAAAAGATGAAAGTTTATTGTTTTGTTCTTGTTCTTGTACTTAAGATTCTGAAAGATAAGTATCATCATTCAAAGAGATATAGTTTCATCAATTTTGTAAATCTATTTAAAATAAAAGATTTGAATATTTTTTTCCTTGATTAGAATTTCTGAGATCATAAGCTTTATTTATCATAGGCTATCGAAAATCTAAAAAAAAAAAGTTATTCGTAAATAAGTAAAGAAGAGCGCTGCGTCATGAAGCACAACGACAACCATGTTAAGAAAACATGTGAGAAACGAAAGTTGTTTGCTATAGCAACTTAGATTAAAGTATTGATGATGGAACATTGCAGCTAGCATCTGCTACAAAGGTACCATCAAAAGTATTAAGATGGAACGTGACATACAATCGGACAAGAACTAATCGATTTTTATTATAGTTCATTGTTTTGTATGATTTAGTACAGTTGATGAAACAACCAAAGCCATAGATAATTTGAATGGAGAAATACTTGATTCAAAATCAATTTATGTAACGCTGAACAAAGGTTCAACGATGCGTCACCAATCTTCAAATGATTGATATTCACAAAAACCTATAAGGACTGCCTATTTCTCATCCTATCTCTAGATCAAAATATGTTGGTCATTTCTCTAAAATTTTAACTTCATCAAATGGACGGACTGCATTCAGTACATAAATTTCAATGCAATCCACTCAGACGAGCAAAAACTGACAGAGGACATCCAACATGACTGGTCTCGAATGTCCACACTACCATCTAGTCTAGTCTGAAATGATTTGCAATTCATCAGAATTGGTCGTCTTGACGAAGTATGCCATGTAACTAAATATAGACTAGTCCAGAATGTGTCCGCACTCAGCCATGACTAGTCCATTTTGTTTAATCATACTGTCTATACACGTCAATAAAACAAAAACTTCAGAAGGATGGGTGATGATTGGTGCATTTGAATATATAATTCGACAATATTGAATGTCTGACTAACCTGGACTGTTTTCAATAGTCGTATAGGCTTGTGTGAAACGTCATTTGTATTGTTTGCGATTAGTTCGCTTTTAAGTAAGTAGTACCAAGCCTGATTCAAACTAATCTAAACTCTTCAAGCATCTCGTTTTGCTTCGACTTTATTTTCCTGACAACTTGTTTAGACTCGTTGGTATTGGAACTAGAAAAGTATGTAATTCTATGCAGGAAGCTTTTAAGTAATTGCATTATTTCTTACAATATTTGATTAAGAATTAGATATATTGATAATATAAATCATTTTGTTTTCATTTTTCAATTAAAAGAGCTTCTCAAAACAAACAGTGACGACAAGAGTTGATTGAATATTTGATTATCAACAAGACAGCAACTTTCACTAGTCAATATAAAGAATAGGCATCAAGTGCTTTTATGGAATACATATGTTATACTTTTTATATTAATACTAAAAAAAAATATGTTGCAATACAAAACAATAGAACTAGAAAGCAGCTGTTAACATCTTAACTAGAGTTGTCTATTTATGTCGTTTAAAATTTTTAGATAGTAAACAGAATAAGAAATATTTTTATTTGAAGAATAATTTTAACATATTTTTATCAGAATTATATTTTATTTTACGTATCAATTTTGATAATTAGAATTTAAAAATGAATTTAAATTGCAATAAGCATAAATCATCAAATGAAAGAAATACTTTTTATTTACACTAAATAGTTAAATTTAATTGTTTTTTTCCCAAATTCTGAACTAATTTTATTCAGAGTTATTTAAATTATTATGAATCTTTATTATAAATAAATCTTCGTGCACTAGTATCTTAGAATGTTTATTGACATATAGGAGTTAATTACTTAACCATATACAGTTCAATGAATTAAACGATGGATAAGTTACAAATTGTATGCACGCGTTTGAATCTAACATNTTCGAACTAGTAGATTATTGAGTTCCTTTTCTATATTTTCTTCATCTTAACAAATGAGTTATATATGTACATATCATTGAAAGTTGTATGCAGAAATGACGATACCAAAACAATATTGTTCATGTACATACGAACGCTCAACATTTAGAAGTAACTCAGGTCGACTCGAGTAAAATTTTATTAAACAGTACGAGATTGTTTTCCATATCTGGTGCTGATTGTTCGTTCCAAATATTCAAAATTCTTTTGTATTGAAGTTCATGATTGTAGACGTTAACTATGTGTACGAGTTGATTGTTGATTGTAAGCAGTTGACTTTGGCAGTAAGTATGTCTATCTTGTTTACAATACCAAATTTCTTTTATTATCGAATGTTCTTTTGATAATGAATACATAGCTATTTGTAATGTATGCATGTTTTCCTTTCGTGGCGATCATATTGCAACATGCGACTAATATGATATTGTTGAGAAGGATTTATACAGAGTTAATCGATTCTCTTTTCTTGCGCAGTAAACATCATCTACTTTATATCATCGGACGAAAAAAAGAAAAATCGAACTTCGTACATATGCATTTCTTCATAGTTTTTTTCAGTGTTTGACGACGTATCTATATACCTAGTAAACCTGAATATAACTAACTTTATTTGGAAAGAATGAAGTTAAAAGTATCGATTAGGCATAAAAAAAAGTTATTGACCGAAATGAAGAATATGGCAAAAAATAAGGAAAGGGAAAAACTAATCTTGATAGTAAATATCCTTTTACCCTGCTAACAGTTGTGGATATACT